GGGGTGGGATTCAAAATTTTTAACAACTGGTTCTGTGGGTGTGGCTTAGGTGGTGGGCGTGGCTTGGTGGTCATGTGACTGGGTGGACGTGGCTTGGTGGTCATGTGACTGGCTGTGCGTGGCCAACTCAATATCACTCACATCAAAGCATGCATCACCTCGCCTGGCCTCTCATGACTCTGGGGATGCTGCAACAGTCGTAAGTGTGAAAAATGGTCATAAGTCACTTTTTTCAGTTCCACTGTAACTTTGAATGGTCACTCCACACAAGCAAAGTACCAGCAAAGGAGGGGGAAAAAAACTCCAGAGAAGTTCCTGAGACAGGTAGTCTAGTCCTGCCAAGGATGTAATTAAGGGTCAAGAGAGGGGCAGTTTCTTTAAGCAACACCAGAATGTTTCCTTCCTGCCTTCCTTACAGGATTAGGCCAGTAATTTCTTCTAACAACCGGTTCTCCGAACTGCTTAGAATGGTAGCAACCGGTTCTAGCGAATATGTGTGAACCTGTAGAATCCCACCCCTGCGTGTGTCTCCTAGCTGATTTTTGGCCTGTTTGAGGCCATTTTTATTGAAACAGGCCTGTTGTCAGCCTCCCGAGGCTCCTGAGGCTTCCCTTGAGCCTCCAGGAAGGCAAAAAAGCCCTCAAATGGGCTCCAGAGGCCTTCCGGCGGAAGTGCCTGTTTTTCGGCCTCCCAAGGCTGCAGAGGTTTCCCTCAAGCCTCTGGGAGGACGAAAATGGCCTCAAATGGGATGAAAATCAGCTGGGAGGCGCATGCATGCGCAATGCAGGTAAGAGGGCGGGGCGGGAGTATTGCACATGCATGCGCAGGGGTGCAGGGTGCATTGCATTGTGCGTGCCAGCACACAGGCGCTTTTGGCACACCATAACAAAAAGGTTCGCCATCACTGACCCAGCCTAAACAATCCTCTCTATCTCCTCCCACCTTAGGAATGTGGCAAGCCCAAAACCCTCCCCGCTCCCTAACCAGCAAAGAGAAAGGAAGAAAAAGAATATAAGATATGGCTAAATAAAATGGCCGTGCATATGTCAATTTCGGGCTTGAGAGTCATCCTGGCCCTTTTCTGAAGGTGAAGTTGTTTCTATCAGATCCGTGTATCTGTCATTTCTTCAATGAAAGAAGAAAACCGGGGGGCGGGGGACGGGGGACTGATAAAGAAATCCTTCTTGAATATATACCTGAATATATTTAATCTTATATCAAATTTGTATAACCTACGCATGATACAATGGAGAGATGAAACCCAGATGGCCGGAACCCATCACCTCTGAGATGAAGAGACCATAAAAATTCCACAGTGAGACGTATCCTGGGAATCTCTGAAAAAAGATAGTTCTAAAAAGGGCGGGGGGAATTAACATGTTGGCTCTTTGTTTTACTAAATACACATCAAGATAAGGGGAGGGGTTTTAAACTCCCTTATCTATCTCTGCATGCCTGAGAGACCTTAGACGTGCTTTTAACCCCTACATGAGTTGTTTCATCTCAGTAAAGGATTCCTTTTTGATACGTTTTCAGAAGTTCATACTGGTTGATTGAATGGGAAAAGTTCTGTAGCCTGACAGTTTCTTTCTATTGATTCTACATTAAAATTATTCAGAGTTCTTATCGCCGTCCTGCCACAATGAGAATCTGAATGTTTACAGGGGTTCCACACAGCTCTATAAAGCTCTTTCCCATAAAACAAATCCAGAAATATTTATCCCTACCAGCAAAATCCTGTTTCATTCTCCCTTAGTCTCAAAAGCTCATTTAGCTGAAACGCAATTTCTTCCAGCAACTGTTCTTTTAATTAACTGTTTACTCTTTACCCTTCTTTTCAACAGCAACGTTTAGCCAATTAATTAGATTATTTCTATTCGCATTAGGGTAGCATCGCGGCTTTGGGTTTTCCTTCGTTAAACGGTTTCTATTTCCCGATGGTGGCTCTTTTCTGTTTCTAACTGAGCAGAGGAAAGCATGTCCTGGCCTTCCAGATGTTGCTGAAATATAATTCCCAAGATCCCTCACCATTGCTCATCCTGCCGAAAAGAGCTGAACGTTTAAAAAAAAATTCAGCAACATCTGAAAGCCAGAGATGCCTGTAGTGGAGCATTTGTTAATTCAATGTTTACACTGTTATTTAAATGACTGCATTGTGCCATGAGCCTCCAAGACATCCACTTAAACACGTAGAGATTTCCTGCCAAAAAAAGGGGGGGAATGGTTAAAAGTGGAAGAATTCCACTGGAGCAAAACACACGCATGCTTTAGCAATGTGCTGTTGGAAGTTAAAACCCAACCCTCTCCTAGAAAAATGGAATATTTTGGGATATACTAAAAAGGCAGAATATTTCCCCTAAAAAGAAAAGTAGAAACTCAGAGAGGCAGAAACTCACACACACACCCATGCACACACACCTTTGCTAATGGACCATTAGTCTGGCCTAGGCCAGTCTATTTTACATAACAAAGATCTACTCCAGGTAGAGCCATAATAGGAATTGCCCAAAGTCCTTTCATTACATCATCATCCAGCAAGGCTCGACCAAGCCTGGAGACTTGGCCCCATGGGAATCTGACAACCAATCAGAATACAAGCTCAAATTCAAATCCCAACAGAGGGTATAAAACGATTGCACTCTCAGCATATCAGCCCTTCTTTCTTCACCCAAGGCATGTGATCCTGTCCACCGTTCAACCATCTTTCCAAGCAGCCACCATGTTTCCAGTGCCTTTCTTCCCCACTTGGAACTGAACCCAGAAGGCTATTTCTTCCAACGATGCAAAAGTGATACAGAGTTTGAAAACTCAGATTTGGTGGAAGGGAGTTTATGCCCATTTTAAAAGTCATTTTTTCTAGATGCTTCGGCTAACCGGTGCTTCTGGCTGCAACACTTTTAAAAAGGTGAAATTTTCAGGAGCAAATGCACTTTTAAAAAGGTGAATTTTACAGCAGCAAATGCGCTTTTAAAAAGGTGAAGTTTTCAGCTGCAAACGCACTTTTTAAAAGGTGAAGTTTTCAGCTTCAAATGCACTTTTTAAAAGGTGAATTTTACAGCTGCAAATGCACTTTTAAAAAGGTGAATTTTACAGCTGCAAATGCACTTTTAAAAAGGTGACGTTTTCAACAGCAGATAAATATGCAGCACCAATGCATTAGAGTTGAAGATATTGTCTTATCTGCCCCTTTCCATACTGAGTGAAGAAACTGAGGTCAAGAAGGACAAAACAACAAGAGGCAAATGTTCCTCGCCGAGGCTTCTTCTCAAGCAAAGCTCTGAAAGAAGGGTATTGTATACAAATGCAACGTCAATGGACAAATATCACCAGTTTCCCCTTGTGGTTTGCTTTGGAAAAGAAAAACAACAGCCGCAGAAGCTTAATCTCCTCCAATGTGTGGGCTTTTATTAAATTGTTTCAGAAGGAAAGCCCCCCCTCTTTTCAAAGAGAAAGATTCCTCTGCGTTTGAATTTTCATGCGCACACACAAAATTCCTGCTGGGGCAGGGGGTTGGACTAGATGACCTACAAGATCCCTTACAACTCTGTTAATCTGCAATAAAAATATACTTGGGTCACTGCAGTACTTCTAAATGCTACCGGTCCCTGATGTGTTGCAGAGGTGATAAAACACACACACACACAAACACAAATGGTACAGTAAACTGATTTAGCAAACAGGCAAGTGGTGTGAAGAAGGGAGCGGTGTGGTGACTTAGAGGTGGAGCCCTCACAATCAGGAGCCTGTGAATTTGATCCAAGGTAGAGGCAGATATTTCTCTCTCTGGGCACAATGAGAATATATCTGCTGAACAAAACTCTGCATGGGTGACAGGAAGGGCATCCGGCCAGTAAACACACCGCTCCGTTCAATTGCCCAGACTCCACTCTGTAAAGGATTATGGGGTGGTTAAATGGAGATGATGACGACGACGAATGATCTAGAGAAGGTCAGAGAGCCAGTTTGGTGTCATTCTTCAAGTCTTCGGGCTAGAAACCATCAGATTGGGAGTTACACTCCCATCTTTGGCACGAAGCCAGCTGAGTGACCTTGGGCAAGTCATTTTCTCTCAGTCCTAGGTAGCAGGCAATGGCAAACCACTTCAGAAAAACCTTGCCAGTAAAACTGCAGGGACTTGCCCAGGCAGTTTGCAAGGATCAGACATGGTTGAATAAAGGGAAAAAGAGAAGGGGGGGGGGGAGAAAGAAAGAAAGAAAGAAAAAAAGAAAGAAAGAAAGAAAGAAAGAAAGAAAGAAAGAAAGAAAGAAAGGGAGGGCACGAAAGAAAGAAAGAAAGAGCACGAAAGAAAGAAAGAAAGAAAATAAATTTCAAACAATCAGCTGCAAGCTATGTTCTCTTTTAGGATCCATTCTATCATCCATTCTCAAATCTATCTATCTGTCTGTCTTTCTGTCTGTCATCCGTCTCTATCCACCCATTCACCTACTTACCCAGCCAGCAATCCACCCACCCATTCATCCAGGCATCCGTCCAATTGTAATTCATGATTAAATGCTTTATAAAATGGAACATTTTTATTCGGAAAGACCATCCAATCATGTTCTCTTCTTGGGAAGAACATTCCACTTCTTCTAGTTCAACGGTCAGTGTTCTCTCTTTCTAGAGAGCTTTCTGGAGAGTGACTAGAACTGGTCGGGAAGTGGGCTGGTTTAACCATCCCATCTCCACAGAGGTCTCTCTATTCCGAATTTATATTTTCATTCCTGTAAAGTTTGGAATCGCCCCCAAATTTGTTGCACCATTGCTTTAATTCATGGACAGGGCCCTTTAGCCATGTAAAAAAGTTCATCATATGGGAAATGAGTTTGTAAATAAAATGTAGGATGTCCTTGGGTGGAGGAATTCTTATACGGCAGAAATGTATGAAGTGAGTGACCTCTCTATCTACTGAGGTAGGAGATGCTTCCCGGCTCACTTCCTGTTATAGAAATTTTGGCAGTTGCGGAGTGGCAGTCCAGCGAAAGACGTATTCTGGGTTGCTTCTCTGAGAAATAGACATCTGGCTTGTTTGATATCCTGGAGAAGAACGGGGTATGTGGCTTTCTGATAAACCGTGTTGCTGAGTCACGGCTGGGAAGTCTTTACAGAGATCCCCTTCCGACTGGTAGCAGGTTGCTCGGCACACCTCGTCACAACTTCTGGCTGAGACAGGACAAGCAAAGCCGCTTCCCACCAAGGGCGTTTCAGACATGAAAGCTCACCATCTTCCCTAGAGGGTCCCGGCCCTGCAAAAAATTACCCAGCGCATCTGCGGGGAAGACTGGTGGCAAACGGTCTGTGGTGGAAGGAAGCTCTCGGCAACTGTTGGTGGCCAGCTAAGGAGAAGATGGCAAGTTGGCTTCGTAATCCCTCAAAGGAACCAGAGATTGAGCTGTTTGTAAAGGTCAGTTCCTATTCGTGGCAAAGGTAGACTTTGGGGGCAGGTGTCAAAGGCCTTGTTCAGGAGAATAAGCGGGTTGTGGGGCAAAATAACCACAACAGAAAACGTAATGTGCATGATTGTGGGTGAGTGAGACCTTTAAATCTAGAGTCTACAATTATGGAACTATGCCACTGCATTGGTAGATTAAATTAAGGTTTTTGGACTTAATGAGCTCTATAGTTAGCTAATTGTTGGGTGAAGAGCTTGGATGTGGCCATTAAGAAACCTTTGCTAAGAATTTGGCCTCTTGCTTGGAGCTGACCAAAGGTTGAAGCGCTCATTTTGCCGATCAAAACTGACCATCAACAGATGTCATGGGAAGATCTCTCGGGATCTCATTGCAATTCATTCTTACCACTGGAGAAAGGTGAAAGTAGCATGGAGGAGATGAGGGAGGTAGAAAATCCTTTGAGATGTAGCCAGAGGTGACACTTTATACTTAAGTGTCCTTGCACTATTATGGTGAGAATCCTGAACTCTGATACAAGAACATGAACTGAGTTAGGATTCACAAGTAAACTTAATCCTCTCCTCTTAGGAAGGCAAAAAACAGAGATGGAGTTTCCTTTCTCCATGTGTTAACCAACTTACGTGCCCGAGTTAATGATTTACCTGAAGTCATTCTCTTTCTTATCCTTTTTGTTATTATTCTTCCTTTTCCTCTCTCCCTTCCCCTTACAAAACAATTATGTGCTAGCACCATACTCCATGCACTAATATGATTCTGATAAAATGAATTCCTATCCATAAAAACAGATGCCATAATAAATTGGGTGGCCTTTTAATAATGTTGGTTGGCTGCACTTCTGCAGAAAAGCTTCCATCTTACATGTCTGTGTAAAGGTATCTTCATTCTTTCTATAGTTGTGGCACATAAAATTCATCTTTTACAACTCCCTGCAACTCCAGCCTCTTCCTTTTTTTTTTTCTGGATCAGAGTTTTGGTCAGGGAGTTACTATGTTTGTAAGTAGCAAATTTCTATCACTCAAAATCTGCACCCAAATACAGAAGGAGTTTTCGTTTTTCTTAAAGGACAGAGACAGATCTTCCTAGCTTGGCCCTAATAAATCTAAAGAGCAACTGGTTTAAAACATGGATACAGCTCATCCTTCTGTGGATTTCTGTGGAAACCACCTTCTGTGATAAGAGCTGTGGTGGCGCAATGGATAGAATGAAGCATTGCAGGCTATGTTTGAACCTGACCGGCTCAAGGTTGACTCAGCTTCTCATCCTTGGGTAAAATGAGGACCCAGATTGTTGAGGGCAACAGGCTGACATTATAAACCACATAGAGAGGGCTGTAAAGCACTGTAAAGCAGTATATAAGTGCTATTGTTATTGCTATAGTTAACTCTGCCTACTGCCAGCAATTCGATCCTGACTGGCTCAAGGTTGACTTAGCCTTCCATCCTTCTGAGGTCGGTAAAATGAGGACCCTGATTGTTGGGGGCAATAGGTTGACTCTGTAAACTGCTTAGAGAGGGCTGGAAAGCCCTGTGCAGCAGTATATTAGGTGTGATTGCTATTTCTAGCACACTAGTCCAATATTTCTCAGTCTTGTCAACTTTAAGGTGTGTAGGCTTCCCCAGCATGCTGGCTGGGGAATTCTGAGAACTGATGTCCACACATCTTAAAGTTTGTCAAGAATGAGATGCACTGATGTAGAACCTGCTGTTTTGACTTGGCGTTTTGGGGTGAACCCGAATTATGGCTTGTAAACCAGGCTTTAGGCCTTTAACATGCATGAGCTGAATGTGATTGAAGTGTTTAAAAAAAAATCCTGCAACAAATAAAGAACCCATGCAATGTGTAAACTAGCTCCTCAGGTACATAATAGACAAGTCCTCTGCTTTCAGTGTCTCGATTCTGCCATTTATCATAATTTGGCACTTAGCTCTAGCTGGTGGAACAATGTTCGGTTCTACAGTAAAAACTGACATGTAAATTTTCCTATAGCCTCCTATAGTTAATACTATAAACAGGGACTCTATTGGGGGAGAGAATCCTTTTATTTATTTATTTTCTTAAATCAGGCATCTATCACTTAGTAGGGTTGTGCAAGGAAGAGAAACGGAAATAAGCCAGCTCGTGAGAAGTTCTTTCCACATTGTATGTTCAGAGTTTAAAAGAATATGCATGGAAAATTATGATTAGTTCGGCTACCACTTCCTTATAAGATCTAATCAAAAGGAATAGAAAGGAGGGTGGGGAGAATGGAGAAAGTCTACTATGACTCTTAGGGAAAACATCTGTGTTTTCCTTCCACACCTTTCCTTCTGGGGTTTTCCTCCCCTCCTCTTTTGCTGCAAGCCAACAGTATCAACACTTTGTGTTGTATCCAAGGTTCCCCACTGGGAGGACTGCCTGTGTTCAGCAATCCTTTATCTCATTTCCTGAACAAGTCACAATCGTAGACCCCAAAGATGAAGAGGGCTACAATAGGTTGGCAAGACACACGGGGAGTTTTCGGTATTGCTTTCACCCCTGATCCAGCCCGCACCTAAGGAAACGGAAATCATGTGCTATTTGCTTTGAAAACAGAACAAAAACAATCATACTTGCTTCCAGTTAGGAAAGATTTTGGGGCTTGGACAACCTAGAACTACGCCGCCTACAGTTTATTTTATTTTATTTATTTGTTTATTTTGATTTGTCAGTTGCTTACAAGATAATAGGTATGAGTATATACATAGTTGTATACATGAAATGGGAACATATAAGAAAAATAAAAGAAACAATAGGACAGGGATAGTTATGCACTCCCCCTACAGACCTCTTAGGAAAGGGGTGAGGTCAATAGTAGACAGTCTAAGGTCAAAGTTTTGGGGGTTTGGGGAAGAAACCACAGAGTCAGGTAGAGTATTCCAGGCATTGACCACTCTGTTGCTGAAGCCATATTTCTTTCAATCAAGTTTGGTGCGGTTAAATTTGAGTTTGTATCTATTGTGTGCTCTTGTGTTGTTATGGTGGAAGCTGAAGTATTCATTGAAAGTCATTGCAATGCATGATTTTATATACCATACTTAGATCAGACCGAAGACGGTGTAATTCAACGTTTTCTAGGTCTAGAATTTCAAGTCTGGTGGCATAAGGTATTCTACAATGAGTAGAGGAGCGGAGAACTCTTCTTGTGAAATATTTCTGGACTTTCTCAATTGTGCATTGATTAGGTACATATTTCAAATTACATAACTATTATTAATAATATTCTTCTTATTCAACTTAACAACATAACGATAATCCCATTCCCATATATATACATATATAGTATAAATGAAATCCAATATACCTATTACCTTAATTCCTCTTATTACTCTATGAATACATCTAATCCCTTTTAGTTTATTCTATTTTCTATCCATTGGTAAAACAAATCCCATACTATATAATATTCAGATTCTTCTTCTTTAATTTCTAGTGTCAGTCTATTCATTTCTGCACATTCAAATATTTTTTTCAATTATTTTTCCTTCTATTGATATCTTATCAATCTTCCAGTTTTGGGCAAATACAATTCTAGCCGCTGTTAAAACATATATAATTAAAGAAGTCTTTACTTTACTATAGCCTTCTGGTACCTTTCCTAGTAAAAAATATTTCAGGCTTCAAATCTATGTGTTGTTTGATCATTTTCTCCAACCATGTGTGTATTTTAGTCCAATACCTTTCTGAGTCTGTGCAAGTCCACCACATATGATAATATGCTCCTGGTATTTGATGACATTTCCAACATTTAATTGATTTATCTTTAAACATTTTTGCTAATTTTGCTGTCACAAAAGTACCATTTATAAAACATATTGTACAGATTTATTTTTATTTATTTGTTTGATTTATTTGATTTGTCTATTGCTTACAAGATAATAGGTACAAGTATGAACATAGTTATGAATACATGGATACATATAAGAAAAAATAAAGAAACAATAGGACAGGGACGGTAGGCACATTGGTGCGCTTATGCATGCCAGATTCTCTTTATATGCTGTCAATCTTGTCAGTTTATAGTTCCTATCCCTTAGTTTCTTCCACTTATCCAATTCTATAGCATATCCAAAAAGAAAATCCCATTCTATCATCGTTTCTTTGACTTGTTCTTCTTCCAGCATGTTTCAAGCATTGTCAATGGCGGAAGGAGCTCCAGTATCGTCAAAGTATCATTTCTCTGCTGAGTTGATTCAAACAGAAAAGAAATGCTATAGCGTGAAGCTCCAGGTGTTTAACCTCTTTGAGGAGAGCAGAGAACCAGCATCCAGAAAGCTAGACAATTCAGGCTCAATCTAATTGCTTGTCTTGGGAAAAGTGTCATTCAGAACAAATATATCACTTTTTTGTTTTGTTTTGTTTTGTTTTGTTTTGTTCCTATGGCAGGCTGGCTTGGATGGACAGAACATTGGAAACTGCCCGTTCTGTCAAAGCCTCTTTATGGTATTATGGCTCAAAGGTGTCAGATTTAATGTCACCACTGTGGATATGACAAGGTAAGAGGGACGGAAGTGAAATTTCATGCATTCGCTGTTTGTTTGTGATCACAATTGAAGCCTTGCGTTCAAACCAAACTAGAATCTGAAAATGACTCATTGAATGGAATTCTTTATTGGCCAAGGGTGTTTGGACACACAAGGAATTTGTCTCCAGTGCAGAAGCTCTCAGTGAACACACTACAATGACAGTGACAGGTCATAGATCATGAATTCTAAGCTACAATCATAAATCATAAGATACAAACGATTGATAAATCATAATAGTAGTAGATGAGTGATGAGAAGATGGGAAAGATGAGAAGATGACAGGGATAATAGCAACACAGTCTACTACATGGGTCAATATTATTAATGGGAGTGTGTGCTTTGATCAAATCCTGCAATACATACTAAGGAAAAGTCTGCACAATAATGCCCAGGTGTGTGAAAAGATGGTTAAAAAGAGGCAGCATACCTGGGAAATTAAAGACTCTGCTGCAGACATGTTTGTACAAGTGTCCATCAAAACACAGGCAAACTTGAAAATCTTTCAAGATTGGCGAAGTGAAATTGAGATTTCTGTCCAACCTTTGCAGGTGGATCTTTAGGGATTCTTAGGAATTAAATTGGGGTCCCCAAACTTGGAAACTTGTGGACTTCAACTCCCAGAATTCTCCAGCCAGCATAGCTGGGAGTTGAAGTCCACAAGTCTTTAAGTTGCCAAGTTTGGAGACCTCTGAATTAAATGAAGGATGATCTAAGGAAAAAAAAAAGAAGGTACAGTAGATAGAAAAGATGGAGAGATAAAACCAATGTCAGATGCATCTTTGTTTATTTTTCTCTTCTTCTGTGTTGTAATTTTGATTTAGGAAACCGGATGAGCTGAAGGATTTGGCCCCAGGCATCAACCCTCCGTTTTTAGTCTTCAACAAGGAGCTCAAAACAGATTTTCTGAAGATTGAAGATTTTCTGGAGCAGACGCTCTCACCACCTAAGTATCTTCATTCCCTATTTTGCTCGCTCATTCAATTTCTTTCCAAATTTCTTTCCAAGTTTTTATGCAGTGTATATTTGGAGGTGGAGACGCTTTGAGAGCTATATGCAATGAAATTTCATTTTAATATATGCTGATTAGTGTACATTCAAAGTGACAATAAAGTTATTGTAAGTCTGAAAGTCTAAAGCATGTCACTCTCTGTCTTTATCACTTCAGACATTCATTCTTGGCAGACTCTGTTGTGGGGGGGAACAAGGCATTTTGGGGTTTTTAATGTTCAAAGTCATGTTCCAAGCAAGGCTAAATCTCAATACAGAATAATAGAGTTGGAAGGGATCTTAGAGGTCTTCTAGTCCAACACCCTGCTAAAGCATTTGACCCTATACCATTTGAGACAGATGATTGTCCAGTCTCTTCTTAAAAGCCTTCAATGATGGAGTACTCAGACCTGTTCCACTGTTTCATTGTTCTCAGTATTAGGAAGTTTCTCATCAATTCCAGGTTGCTTCTCTCTTTAACAGTTGGAAGGGACCTTGTAGGTCATCTAGTCCAACCCCCCCCCCCAGCCCAGCAGGAGACCCTACCCTATTTCTGACAAATGGCAGTCCCGTCTCTTCTTGAAGGTCTCAAGTGATGAAGCTCCCATAACCTCTGAAGGCAACTTCTGTTCCATCGGTTGATTGTTCTCACTGTCAGAAAATTGCTCCTTATTTCCAGGTTGAATCTCTCCTTGATCAGTTTCCATCCATTATTCCTTGTCTGGCCTTCGGGTGCCTTGGAGAATAGCTTGACCCTTTCCTTCTCTCTGTGGCAGCCCCTCAAACATTGGAAGGCTGCTATCACGTCTCCCCTGGTCCTTCTCTTTACTAGACTAGCCATGCCCAGTTCTTGCAACCGTTCATCGTATGTTTGAGCCTCCAGTCCCCTGATCCTCTTGGTTGCTCCTTGCACTTTTTCCAGAGTCTCAACATCTTTTTAGAGTATAGCAACCAAAACTGGATGCAGTACTCTAGGTGTGGTTATTAAAACGTCCAGAGATGAAACCCCCATAACTTGTGCAGGCAAGTTGTTCCACTGATTAATTGTTCTCACTGTCCGGAAGTTTCTCTTCAATTCCAGGTTGCTTCTCTCCTTGATTAGTTTCCACCCATGGTTTCTTGTCTTGCCTTCTGGTTCTTTGGAAAATAGGTTGACCCCCTTTTTCTTTGTAGCAGCCCTTCAAATATTGGAAGACTGCTATCACGTTACCCCTATCCCTTCTTTTCTCTAGAGAAGCCATACCCAATTCCTGCAACCGGTCGTCATCTGTTTTAGTCACGAAGTCATTCATTATTCTTAGCTGCCCTTCTCTGCATACATTCCAAACTTGCAACCTATAACCAGGCACATACAAAAGTCTCAATGCTTTGCTCAGTGCCATGTAATCTCTGCGTGGATATTCAGCCCTCTGAACCCTGTTTACCTTGAAGAACCAAAGGGACATGTTGCAGAGATGACTTCTGGCAGAGAGGCTGCGATCCGATGGTCCTTGATGAAAGAGGGACAGCTTGCAAGAGCCATCTGTTTCCCACCAGGATCAGGGAGGAAGTGTGGTGGCCAGAGAGATTAAAAACAATGGAGGGAAGTCAAGCATCCGACAGAGGACAAATGGAGAGGCTAGGGGAGAGAGAGAGAGAGAGAGAGAGAGAGATGGGCAAGCTTTTTTTTTGCAAGGGGAAGGACAGGCACAAATGCTGCAGGAAAGGTCACAGTTGTGGTTACCTGGGTAGTTTTGTGTTTATTTGCAGAACCGCTGCCGAGGTAGGGTTGTCCGTGAAAGTCCCTTCCTCCCTCCCTCCCTCTTTTTTTTTTTT